CCCTAGGTCTTAAGTTATTTGCATGTTCCTTTTACATCAAATATATCCCACTGCTGTTTGCCATTATTTCACAATGAATAATTTAAGCTAATTTAATTAAAATGTGATTTTTGTATTTAGCCCGTTTTACCTATGCTTTATGTCAAAAATTATTATTTCAACCCCAAAATCTTAGAGAATAAAGAGGCTTATATTTATGAGATATGTATTTTTATATGGTATTTTGAAACCTTTTCTTATAATCCACTATTGTTATGGTAGTGTATGAAAGTGATTATCAGGGTTTGGGATTTTGTTTTTTATACTTTTTTACTATATAAAACTGTAAATAATTAATTAGAGGATCAATGATCCTTTGCTGAATTTGTCTCAATAAAACTGTTTTTCATACAGTCAAAAGACATCTTTTTAAAATCTACTTTTCTGTTTCAAATTTTAATGGTCTTTGTGATTACTTAAAAGGTCCTAATCACATTAAGAATAGTGACTTATTTCCTTGCTTCCTCTTTCTTTTCCTTGAAATCTGATGGGGAAAAAAAGAAAAAATACATAATAACAACAAAATAGTGATTTATTAAATTACTATTATAAATATGAATCCACTAACTATAAATCACACAATAATCTCTGACATCTCTGATTAAGGTGCAGAACATCCTGCCTTTTAGCTGCTTGAGGCTGAGAGAACTGTAAAAATTGAAAGTGGCATACCAGTGTCCTACATTGTTCATGAGAAGAGTAGAGCCTTTGGAATGGATGCTTGCTAACACATGCAAGCAACTGTGAAGAAAACATTTGCCATAGTGGTAGATGTGTTCTGAGTTTTATTTAACAACTTTGGACTATATACCCTTCCTGACAATTAAATCAGTAAAGTCCTTTGCTGGGTGTAATATTTATTTACTGCTACCAGAAGTGGAATTATTCTTGCACACTAAAACTTTGAAATATTAATGTGTATTCAGTAGGATCTGGCTGTTCATATTCTCCACCATAGTGCTTCTGTCATGAATAGAAACTTAGACAAATCTCTTAAACTGAGAAAAATTACAATTCTATTTAAAAAGACAAACAGTAATAAGTCTCTCTAATCAAAACTGTTCTTGTGAAGCTCATCAGAACTTAAGTCAAAGTTGAGTGGAAAAAGGGGAAAAAAATGCTTTCAGATAGACTTACTAAAGTCCTGTCCTTGTGCCATGAGGAATAGTTATTGAAATTGCCAGTATATAGGAGGAGATAATACCAGCTAGCTTGGGTGACAGTGCATCCTCACATCTAATGAATATGTCTAAATATGGACAAATTTCTTGAAATATCTCAGTGCATTGTAAGCAACCCATGTAAAGCTTACATTTTGATTACCACATTTTGATTACTAAATGTTGTGATAACATTTAATAATTCACTTTTACAAAGAAGACATGAGCCACGATGCATGCTCTTTCTGGCTCTACAGAGGTGTGGCAGCATTCCCAACCAACACACTCAGTCCTGCATTCTCAGGATGCCCAATAGCCTGATCAACATAGAAGGAAACACGTTTTGGAATTTTTTAGTCCTCTAAGCACTACTTCTCACTCCTGTGCTAATTCGTACAAAGGTTAGCACAGACCACCTGAAAGTCCTTCTACTTAAAGCAAATATTAGCCACAAAAGTTGTGTTTATACTAACAAATTAAGCATGTATGGGACTGCTTGTTGACACTATAGCTAGCTGGTAAGGAACAGATCACATCCATAGCAGGAAACTTTTTATTCCCGTAAAACACATGCAACAGCTTATTACAAATGCTCCTTCACCCATGATAGCTCTCAAGCCATGACAGGAATGTTTTGGAGAGTGCTAGATGGTCCATTTGGCCCAAAATCCATGGTAGTGATCATTCTAAAATAAATAAAGAATATAGATGATTGTGTTTCACCATCTGGGAATGATCTATGATAGTGCTTTTTAAATAAAAGAGGGTAGATATAGATTAGATATAAGGAAGAATTTTTTTTTATAATAAGGGTGGTAAAACACTGGAACAGGTTGCCTATACAGGTGGTATATGCCCCATCCCTGGAAACATTCAAGGTCAGGTTGGACAGGGCTCTGAGCAATCTGATCGAGTTGCAGTCATGCCTGCTCATTGCAGGGGGAGTTGGACTAGATGGCCTTTAAAGGTCTCTTCCAACCCAAACTACTCTATAATTCTATGATTCACTATTACTCCTAGTGATTATGTACACAGAAAAATTTGAGTTAAGCCAAGAATATGGAACTAAACCCTCTTCAGAGACATTGATGGATGATATTTTCCTGCAAATGGCATTACTGTCTTCTGGGGTTTATTTCTGCCCAATGACAGCTATTGTCTCTTCTGAAGTACAAACACAGAATAATTCTATTGTCTCAATTTTCCTGAAAAGAATTACATGAATTCAGTCTTTACCATGGAAGAACAGGAAGTGCAGGAGTGGGAACATTCTGTAGCGGAATAAACCTGGGTTCTTTTCATTTTCTCATTAGGTTTCCTGAGTTATCATGCTATCTATCAATCCCTGAGAATATAATTACTTCAAACCCTGTTACTTTGTCCTTTTGCCATTCAACTCATTCTCCAAGGCAAACAGATTTATAACAAAAGTAGCAAGTGAGATAGTCTAGAGAGGAAGAAGTTTGAAGGTGATCACAAAACATGAGAGTAACTTTTTTACGATGCCTCTGCTGCAGTAATACCCATGGGGCTTGCACAAATGTGTCCTGAAACACTTATTGCTAAAATGGAGACTTTTATGGTTCTGGCATAAAAGTTGAACAAAACCTTGAGTCTCTACAGATGTTCAATGTAGTAGCAGTAATGGGAAGCTGTTTTTCTTGGTTTTATTTGCTTTTATATTTAGTGAAACCATAGTTAAGTTCTACAGTACCTGCTGTAGAAAACTAGAAAACATTGAAGATTAATACTCCAATGTCATAAGCTGCCATGTTATTGCAATGATTTTTCTACTTCCATTTTTTATTATTTACAGGTTTTAGTCAGCCAAAGAACCTGTTTGAAACATTTCAAGACTTTAAAAGCTAGACCATATTTACAGAAAATAAAGGAGCATCTGAGTATGAATAAAGTGATAAAGAAACACATAAATGATATTCTTATATAACTTAAACTGGAATTTCCTCTCTGCCTATCTGTTAATACAGACTGAGACTGGAAGATCTACACCTCTTCCCAGACAATTTGGAGAGCTGATGATAAGAAAAAACGTCATCTTTGTACTCTTTTCTGTGCTTCCACACAAAAGTGGCAGGAAGGCATTGGTTCAGGTTTTGCTGCTTTGTGGACTGACTCTTTGGCTGTAATAACTGCTGCTAAATTGCTGAGAAGAGAAAAAAAATCCATGTATTGATATGCAAGAACAGGGGACACAGGAGAAGGGGAAAAAAAGAAAAATGGCTAAAATTGAGAGCGAATAAGAAGAGAATCAGTAAAGGCAAAAGGTTAGAAAAAAGGAAAAGAAGGATCTTTAAGTTACAGAAAACTATATGGCATACATTCTGTAAATTTCTATACAGGGACTATAATAAAATCCTTGGATAAGTCATAAGGAGTCATCTTCCTGGCTCCAACACACTTCTCTGACAAAGAAGAGCTGCCTTGATGTTTACCACAATGAGCCCAAGGCCTGAAGCAATTACAGACTACTGGGGGGGTGGAGGGGTGGCAGGGGCAGGGGAAAAGTGTTTGAGATTTTTCAACTCTCTTAAAGCCTGACTGTGCTCAAAGAGCATTATTTGTATACACCCTTAGTGCAATGTCTTCAAAGAGTGAAAAACTTTTCCTGTAACTTCTCTCCCTACATGACCACTTCTAAGGAGTCAATATTTGCACAGACTTGGTAGTTAAAGGACATGCCATGTGATGTGACATTTTGCATTTGGGATGTTTTACTCTCTGTTAAGTCTCCAGACCTCACAGCCACCATAGCAGTAAAAGAAAATCTTGCACTTTTCTGTTCAGATTGCTATAAACTTGGGTTCTTTTCTTTTTTTTGAAGTCTCAGATGTAAGAAGTTTCCGAATTTTATTAAGCCATTACATCTGTAATTTGCCTCCCTAAGGAAAATATAGTGCACCTATGAGATCTACAATACCTAGGAAATGTACTATTTATGTCAGTAAAAGGTCTTCCCGGTGGGAAACACTTTTTAAAAAAATATTATTTTTTCATACTTCCTTTTGATACTAGTCTGCATCGAACTAGATAAAAGTTCAGAAAAGTCCAAATTACGTTTTACACAATTTTGACCTAAAAAACCCAAACCCAACATACACCAGAAGGCACTTCAGTTTAATGGAAAGAGACAATTTCTTTTCATCCCTTTTTTTCTCATAGAAAATTTTGGGCTCTTGTTTTTTACTGTTTTTAAAATAGAGAGAAGACAAGATAAATTAATTCTGATTGAATTGAGAACTAAAAATTAAAATCAATGTACAATAATGGTCTTATTCGATTTTGTACTCATAATTTTAACTTTCTAAACAATTTTCATTATCTCTTCCCATTTGTTACAGTTAGGGTAAACTGAAGAAATTAGAAAAAATAAGACAAAAGTTTTCAGAATGGTATTGTATATTTTAAAGACTGCTCTCAGGCCTAGTGAAATCTTACATTGCAGCCACTACTAGTTTCATCAACATATTTGAAAACAATCAAATTGATCACTGTTTCTTTAGGTCCTCAGTCAGAAAATGAAATGTCATGCTTATTAAATGTAAAGTTGTAAACCCCATACAGCATTACGGAGATACAAAGTAGTTTCCTAGTCAAAATCAATTTATTTTCAATTTTGCCATGCCTTCTAGTTTGGTTCTGTATCTACTGACACCAGGACTTCTGATATTTGAATTCAAAGGGAAAAAATAAGATCTCTTTCTGCAAGGTGGTCAGCGTTACTCTCTGGTTTGACAACTGGTCTGTCAAAGTGGTAATTTATTTTATACTTTCTCATCATACCTTGAGAATTTTGCACATTATCTCATAAACTGAAAATGTTTTCTCAGCTCGTGTCCAATCCCAGGTTGTGACCTTTGGGGAAAAAAACAAAAACAAAACCAAAAGACAAAACAAAAAAAATAAACAGAAAAAGAAATTAAGCTATTTTCATTTATTTCAGGAAGTAAGTTTATTAACAAAAATAAAGCTATATCCCTAAGCTCTCTACATCCAGTATAATGTATACAGAAAGACCATGCACTGCCTCAGAGCAATAACTACCAGGGATCAGACTGTTCCATCCAGGCAATGCTTGGAAGAAGTCCTCCCTGTATTTACAGTGCAGTGTCCTTGCACGCTGGCTGCTCTGTGCTGAATGATGATGCTTCCCCAGGGAACTAGTAGGGGTTGCATTGAGATCCTGAGAGGATACAGTCCTTGAATTCATCTCACAGAGCCAGTGCCCTGACTACAAGAAGGTATGTTTCTCTTTACTTTCCTCCTTGTAACTGCATGCCACTATTTGCTCCCAGTCACCTACAGTATTTGCAAATCCATAAAATGAGTCTCCAACCTTGCAATGTCCCAGACACTTACCTCACATGCCTTGAAATCCAGAGGGAAAAAAAACAAACCATGAAACAAGAGGCAAATATACATTTTCTTTTTTTTCTTATCAAGATGTACTTGTAAATTCTAACAACGAACATTTGAAGAATAGTTTTTTTTTCCTCTTTGTCTTGGGATTTGACAATTGTGTTTAACTGTATTAATTTTAAGCAATTATTTTACACAAAAATGCATAGATAAAAGAATTAAATAAAATTAAATTAAAGGGTAAGTGGTAAGACTTAAATAGGACAGAAAAAGATAGATGAATATATTCAGTAAGGTAAGAGTCAAGGCAATATCACAACAATCTATAAATAACTTTTCAAAGAAACTGCAAAATGGAAACAGGAGAATATTCACAGTCTCAAAATACAGAAGAAGGCACAAAAGAGAATGAAACTGAGGTTATATATGAAAGAAAAATAATCTTAATAGTAAGATATTGGCACAGCTCCAAAGGAAGATGGTTTCATCATTAAATTTATTAGGCATGATGAAGAGGTTGATGATACCACAAATTATTAGTTCTACAAGATTCAAGATAAAATTCTTTGAAAAATTTATGATAAAATACTGCTCACAGGCCAGGAAGAAAAATATTGTATGAGAACAATTTCTCTCTTATCTAAAGAGAAAATAATCAATAATAGATACAACACGTCTGAGAAGCATCTGTGTGTTCGGATGCTAGGGGATAAAATTTTCTTGATCAAAATTTTTTTGCAGTTGTATGAGAAAATTCTATTCCTAACTTAATTTTTAGTTATAAACATTACTGTAATACAAACTCCTTTCAGGAAATCATAGGCAGGAATGAAAAGTTAAAAAATACAGTGTTATAGTTCCTCTATTAGAATTTTATTTATTTGCAGTCATCCTCAAATGCAATTTTCACCATATTATTGAAGTATGACGACTAAACCATAAAGCTACTCTTTATGCTATGGACAAAAGGATGAATTTCTCACCAAGAACAAAGAAATGGGGAGAGGAATCTTGCTACAGCCCCGCTGAGACCAAAACTCCAGCCACACCAGCTGAAGTCATATTCCTCCATCAGGAAAAGTAGTTACTATGGCTGCTGAAGCACAGACTCATTTGGAACTATGTTTAAAAACTTCTTTGGTGGAAAATATAAGACCTCCCTGTTCTCCTCGCTTTTGTTTGTACCTATAAAGGGACTTATTTTCCTTTCAAACCAAAACTCTTTCTATATAATGCTATGTGCAAAGCAAGAGAATGTCAAATTAAGACAGTCACAGAAATTGCTTCACCTGTTCACTTTTAATATTTTAATTTAAAAGCTTGAATAGCAAAAGAAATGGTGTTAGCGGCTCTTTCTCACGTCCATCCTCTCTGAGATTTCCAATTATAAATTGTAAAAAACTGATACACACCAGACTTGACACAATTAATTCTAAAGGAGGAAATGTACCAGAATATAACAGAAAGAAAAAAAAAGAGTAATTTTGTGTAAAGCTTTTAAAGTGTAAATAAGTAACATTAGGAGTGTTCCTTTATCTGAGCATGCAAAGCAGAAGTACTATTGATCAAACAGCTGAAAAAAGAGGCAGGGGGAGGCTGCTGATAGACACTCTTTAACACATACTTCCCTAATGTGTTAGACTTTGGCAAAGACTGGGGAAATACTTTCATTTGATTTTCTGGTTAAAAATTTGGCAAGACATCTCTGTTCAGAAAAAAACTTCATCCAAGGAGTTTACACTGCAAATATAATTAAAACTGTTTTTCTTTTGACTACACTTTATGCATCTCATAAATAGAAGCTCTGAAGCTGTGTTGTTGAAACTTTCCTCGTAATCTTTTGTGATGCCTGGAAGAAACAAACATATATACCTGCAGAATAGCAAACATAACAGTATGCATTTGCATGCAAAAAATAGGGTGTTAGAAGTCCTTTAGAAGGCTTTCTGCAGTCTTTGATAAGAAGAAAATTTTTCTGGGCATATAAGCATGCAATTAATACATTACATGTTGGGGTTGGAACTAGGTGATCTTTAAGGTCCCTTCCAACCCAAACCATACTATGATAATATGTCTTTAAGGCAACTCTACAGGAACTCTTCCTCTGTTTGTCCTATAAAAAGCATGTTTATCATTCTGTTTCCCTCCTACTCCATGGAGAGAAAATATCTTTCTCTATGTTTGAACCGTTTTTCTCTTTTAGAAAAGGAGTCAGAATCTGGCAAAACAAAATCATGTTGTGCTTGCAGTTCAGCTGAAACAAGACCCATAAAAACTCAAGGATGAGTTGCTTGTCTCATACAAGAGCAGCTTGCCAAAATTTCCCTTATTAACATCACCATGGTTCAGAGTCTTCCTATGAACATGTTCCTTCCACAACCATTAATCACCCCCCATTACCCATTTACCTCCTAGAAAAATATTACTCCTGGAAACTTATGATTCTTCAGTAAAGAGGCTTGTAGCCCCTTTGATAGTACTTACAAAAGACTAACCTTCCTATTTTATATTGAACAGGAGCTCTCAGCATTAATTCTGCTTCTATCTAGTGCCTAGAATGTGGGTGGCTTTATTTGACAGGCAGCAATTGCTCAAGTAGGTCTAGCAAAGACAGAACAGTTTTTGAATTAAGGTGCTTAGTAGCTTAATCTGATATTTTAATCTGATCCTGAAAAATATCCACCAACAAAAGTTAAACTCCCACTACCAACCATGGGAGAGTCAAACCCATACCAGTGAACTAGTGTACAAACACTGAACACATGGAGTTTTCAGTTCATACTTACTTCCACTCCTCATGTCTTTCATATGTTTTTAAGCCTTTTGCTAAACAAACGGGAATAGATACTGATGAACAATGTAAAGATTTGCAAGTTGGTTTTGAACCACAGGAGGAACAGATTGCCCAGAGAGGTGGTATATGCTCCATCCCTGGAAACATCAGGCAGGACTAGGCTCTGAGCAACCTGTTCCAGTTGAAGGTGTCCCTGCTTACTGTAGGGGGCTTGCAGTAGATGACCTTTAAAGCTCCCTTCCAACCTGAACTATTCTGTAATTCTGTGATTCAGGCAGGAAGGAGCTACAGCCTGGATCTGGCAACACAGGGTTTAGCAGCAGTCAGCAAGGTCACTCAATAAACAGGAAAAATGAATGAACATGACTGTCCCTGCTGTAGGTATAGGATTGCTACTGGATCCTTAGCAAATAGCTTAAAAGTTAGCTAGGGGATCTTTACTGCAGCTTAGATGTGCCATCAAACTGCGAAAGTAAACTGCTGAGTATAAGACGAGAGCTAAAATTTTACCCAGTGTTCCCAGTCAGATTCCAATTAATATATTTAACTTAAACAATTTAATTTGCTTCCCTACCTTCCTTTGGAGCTCTCTAGCAGCAAAAACTTACATTCGAGATGAAATCTAAATACAGACATATAACAATTTCCACAGCATGCAAAAAGCTTTGTTATTTCCCCAAATCCCAGCAGTTTCACTAGAATAATTGTTCAGTTCAAATTTAACCAGCTTACTTCAGGCCTTTTCTGTCTGCCAAAGGAAAATCAAAAGCTGCCTTTTAACATAAGTAGATTTTTCTTTTATTTTTCTAAGTGCTCAGTTTAGTGTTAGGAAAGAAATTCTTGTAAAATGCTCAGTCATCTGATGAACAGATGCTTTCTGTCACTTCTATACCACATATCCTGGAACTTTTCAGTGCTGCTATTTGCAACCCTGTTAGTGAGTGATATCTCATTGCAAAAGCCTTGTACACATCACATGAAATTATTTTCCTTAATAACATTTATTCCCACTAAGTATGAGAAAAATACTTACTGGAGGTGCTATAAATTTATAGAGGGAAGATCCTCTCAGTGCTAGAAACTTTGGTGTGTACATTCGATCCTGAAGAGAGTCCTGTTCCCGTTCTTCTGTCCAGCCCATGTAGACTATCTGACAGAAAAATCAATAGTGTTGACAAATTCCTCAGACATTTTCTTGTCTTGCAAATATTTCATATGAGTAAACTGATGTCTGTCAAATTTTGCATAGCTGCATACCTTGAACTCCTGACATAATAGGGTGCATTGGCAGTTTGTACAAAGAACACCTGTTAGGACAATCCAAAAACATGAGAACCAACCCTTGCTGTGCTGGTAACAAGAAAAAAAACCTAAACCACATACTCCATGGATGTTAAAGGTCTATTCTACATATTTGCTGACAGATCACATCAGTAAAATTTAATGTAAGTGAAGTGTAAGGAACCACTAGTCAGGAATATCAAATCAAGCAACTCCCATTACACAGCAATATAGATACTGTCTCCACATATAGTTTCACAGTTAGGCATTAAACAATATGATCTTACAAATTTTATTTCCAACTAATGACAATCTGCCTTTTTTTCTTTTTTTTTTTACTGTCTGAAAATACCTGTGAGAAGTTTTGAACCTTCTTGCTTAGAAACAGCAAATTTACTGACTGTTTTCAGCCACTATCTTGAACAGACTTCATCTACAGCTAAGAATTAAGCAGAATGCTGCAGACACTTACCACTACTTGTAGAGATTCTGACACAGATGTTTGAACTGGAACTTGTTTCAGCTCATTTTAGGATGCAATTCTCTACCTATATCCACCTATTAAGTTTGAGTAATTTAATATCAAATCCTTAAAGAGCAGCAGAGCATGAGTCACCACTATGTTAACTTCTGGAGAACCACTGAACAGTGAGCAGACTCATCATGAAACCTTTGATTTATAACTATGCCATTAGTAATAAAATACAATTTCCAGTGTGCACTGGTACACTACTGCTATGGAAAATAGATCAACCCATATTTCATAGAATGCTTCTAATGGGATAGATTTATTTTTAAGTATCTTTGTGAAACTGATTTCTACATTAATTAAGAAAGTATGGGGCAATCTCTGTCTTACATGTCAGTAATGATCACGTAAGGAAAACAGTTTAGGTAAAATAAAGACAATTATGTAAATAGTCAACAAGTTAGTAAGTTTACCAATGGTAAAAAAAGGTCTCCAAAATGAAGGTTTGTACTGCGTGTTTTATCCATTCAGATTTTGTATGTCACGTCCTTTTAAAAAAGTAATGTACACCATTTTATTTCATTACTTTTCGGAAGAGGATTTTTATTGATAGTTTTCCATGGAATACACATCAAAGTAAATGGTGGGTCTGTTGTTTTTCTTTTTTCTCTCTTTTTTTTTTTTTTTTTTCTGGTGGATTTTACTGTAACTCACTGGAAATTAATGACTTTTTCAAATCCCATTGTGTGAAATCAACACTACTACTCTCTCTCACAGTTTATTGGATATTTCATGGACTATAAATAGAGACAGGGAGAAGGTCCATTCCTCTAACACTACAATGAAACCTCAACATTTAATTATTTTGCCAATAGCAAACACTAAAACTGCCACGTAGTCTCAGGTTCAATGAAGAACATGTGTTGAAGTACCTGCTGGTTTGGTAGCTAAACAAGCTTATAAAAGTAAAAAAGAAGACAGATATGCACCATAATATTCAAGTATCAAGAAGAGCGCTAAACACTGTACTGTCATGCAATACCTAAAAAGACATGTTCTCTGAAATCTCATTTATTCCTGAATGAGGAAATATTCAGAAGGAAAAAAAAACCCTAACAAACAACTGAGAGGTACAGTAGGAGAAGTTTTAAATTATTTCAATTTTATGTTTATTCAAATTTCTCTCATTTCTGCTGTTTCATATGTTATCCATAAGTGTGGATCCCCATCCCTGGAATCTCTAGACCTCAGTGACTGAGAGGGGTTACACAGAAGAGTTAAATTAGTATAACAAAACTGTACTACTATATGCAGTACTTTGGCATATTTTCCTATCAGTAACTGAAAGAGAATGAATGATCTCTAGTTTCTAGGAACTGAGACATCTATGCTTTCAAATTAATTAAACAGGATTCATTTGGTTTCATCTTGATTTTTTTCATTAAAATTGGACACACAGTAAGATATCATCTTGCCTGATGACATTTAATAACATTGTAACACTGTATGTAATCTCTACTTAGTGAGCGTTTTTCTCTTTCATATTCCTCATTTCTACTTCTACTATTCATCAAAATAACAGGATACAGTCACTCATGCTGTGCAAATGTATTGATATTTCACATTTGATTGACCCAGCACTAAAGCAGCCATGAAATTTAAGGCCTCTGTAGATCATGAGGAAAATTTAGATTGATTTTCCAGAAAATCTGCTGTACCAAAGTTTTATCAACATAAAAGCATTCCTCTTTCAGACTCAATACCTACTATTCAACATAAAGAAGAACTGTGAAGCAAAGGCTGTGTGATTATAATTAGGAATACTTACAAAATTGTTTGAATGCATGTGCATGCATATCCACATGTGTGGATTAAAATAGCCTGGGCTAGATTCTGGAAAACAAGGCAAAACTGAACAAATAGTTGCTAGCTGTTTTAATAGATAACTATGATAACTGATATGTTCCTACAGTGATCTCAGTTTTATCTAAACATACCAAACATGTGAAGTTAAATAAAATATTGTAATTTTTACATAATAAAGGTCAGAAACTGTTGAAAATTTTCACTTCTAAGATAAAATAGATGACCTCTTTGAGACATTTATGTTACTGGTAAACATTCTTACTTCTAAAAAAAAATCTTTATGAAAAAATTAAAAACAATTATTTGTTGGAAAGGGATCTTAACTTTCAAATTAGTAGCTCATGTGTATATATGAACTGAAATAGTGATGAATATGATATTTGAATATGATAGTGATGAATATGATATGAGTTTTGGACCATCTCTCAGTTTTGCTGCACATGCGGATTTGGTACATATGGAATTTCATGAGATTATGAAATTTCAGAAATTTCGTTTCCGAAAATAAAGGCTTAGAACCACAGACACATGATGATGTTAATCACAAATAGACGGTGCATAGCATGCTCCTTTATAAATTCAAAAATTTGGTTAGCTTTTTAACCTTTGTAAGGTTTTTTGAGTCTCTATAAACTGTTATCACCAAAGGTGGCAGTGGTGGTGAAAAAAGATTTTATTTATGAGAACATTCCACTTGAAAGATAATTTTTGCAGTCCTGGTTTCTGACTTACCTGAAGCAGCTCATTCTTCAAAATCAAATGGTGGCACAAATTAGTTAACTTAGTGGCTACTGGTTCAGTAACAAAGATTCAATAAGTCATAATGGTTTATGACTTAAATCATGTGCAGTTTAAAAAAATTCTATATTGAAATGATAAATGAAACAGGGCAATTTCTTCAGTCAAAAATCCATAATCTTGTAATTGAATATGCACTTAAATCACATAGACATCCTAATCAAGCAAGATAAATTGCCATATTTTATATCAGTACAATATCTTGCTAAAAATGACTTAAATAGCCTTGAGTTTCAGTGAGACTTTTTCAGAGTTCTTACATAGTTTTTATTATTTTTTAGGAAGAATAGTGAGATAAAAATACAAGAAAATTTCCCCAAAATGAAATGTAAAATGTATGTGACATTATAGAAGTGAGGTGATTCAAAGATCAGAACAGATGCACTGACAGCTTTTTATCTTGGAAATCTGATACTCATATACACACTATGTGAAAACATGCTGTGGGGCAACAGGATGGAGTCAGAAGACAAATGACTACATCAGACAACACAGGGGGAATATTATGAGGAATGAGAAACTCAGATAACTCTCTCTACCCTGCTTTTAATATAATTTTCTCTGTACATTTTAAAATCCTTTTCCATATAGTCTAAAAATTCAGTATAGTCAATTGTTAGCAGAAAAACAACAAAAACCACACTGCAAATGTGTGAAAAAAAATTGAACAAAAAGTGTGATCATGATGTAATCATTTGTAAAACCAGTTGTGCATATAAAAGGCTTGGGATTTTTATGCTGAGAAACAGCAACAGAAAAACTAATAAGTCAACAGAAAAACTAATCACATAAAATATTGAATGAATACTAGAAAAATTTTGCTTAATTGTAAATGCAGTCAAAATGTCTCCTATCCTATTTTTCAGGTTTGTGAAAAGCCTTGTTATCTTTCCATAAATATTTTAATTCCTGTGAATTATTTTCTATCTTCTTCACCAAAAAAAGTCCACTAAAACAAGATAGTCTACATATGAAAAACAATCTGAAAGAAACAGAAGATAGATGGCAGTGAAAGGCTATTTTACATAGGTTTCAGATTAGATTTAAAGTAATTTAAAATTACATTTCTCTCAGTATAATTTGTGAGAAATAAATATCAGTAATGGTCAATATTTTCTAGAAAATTATGCCATATAATTAATAGCAAAGGAATGGCTTTGACAAACATTCTCTATGACTTTTATTTCTAAACTTCAAAAATCAGAAATGAACTATTTTTGATTTGAATTGTAGATGGATGTGGCCCTGGTAACCTGCTCTAGGTGATTGTGCCTGAACAGTGGGAATTAGGCAAGATGACCTCGAGAGGTTTCTTATGACCTGAAACATTCTGTGGTTCTGGGAAAGAAAACAAATTATGGATATATAAAAACAGAAAACTTTTTATGCCAAGTAGTTTCCCCTTTCAGTTGTCCTCTATTATATCACCTCCTTTCTATTCTAAATGCTTTAGAGCTATCACCTACAAGGATCCCCTTCATATTTTTGAACTACCTAGCTACTAACAGATTATTCAATCTAAGATCGTACATGTATTTTTTCTCACATAGATTAATTTCCTTCTGGGTAAGAACTCACATTATCATCTTGCTACCAGAACAAGGCTGAGTATAGGTTTTCCATTTGACTTTGTCCTGTTTTATTTTTTTAAATGATGACACAAAAATTAAGGAAATATTCTGACTCTGAGTAAATAGTACCAGAGAAAGTAGAAAATACTTTTAATTTATGGAATA